AATATTATATAATATCATAAATATCAATAAAGTGAAAAGTATTTCTAAAAGAGCTTGCAACTTTAAATTATGATATGCATACGTAGCTTCAGATAGTTTAGTTATGAATAAACAAAAAGTAAAATATAAAAAATATAAATAATAATGTATACATATATATATAAATGTTATACACATAGATACACATGATATAAAAATAAAAGTAGAAAATTGACACACACTTACACATTAATTATAATAAATAAATAATAAATAATAGTAAATAAAAATAAATTAAGATTGCTATATCATAAAGTATGACTTATAACATTTATTTCGTTTATTTATACAAAATAATTAAGTCATAAATTAAAATAAATTTGAAACTAAATTTTTCCATATTTAACTTTAATGAGTAATGTTTCGACTATACTATAATTTCATCGAATACAACTAGAATTAGCTTCATTAAAAAAATTTATTTTTATTAAAAGTTAGGGCACTCTACCTTATAATTGATTTGTTTCGCAACGATAAAATCTATTAATTATTTATTTCCATGTTATAAATCTCTTTTTACCTAGAACTATGACTAAGAATAGTATTTCTTTATATTACCTTCTTTATACATACCTATATCATTCTATCTCATTTCCACACCTTATTATATTTTATTATTGTACCAGATTATATATTCAACTTTATATAATACAGTTGTTAAACTAGATTAAATCTTATTGATTAAATGTCATTTAAGTAAATGATTCTGCGCTATATAGAACTGGAACAAACGCTGTTTCCTCTTTCTTTGCATGAAGGAGAATGAATAGCTCGCGGGTCCGAAGTGAAGGCAAACTTTTTAGTGAGATTACTAGCCGATAATAATTCAACCGCGGGGGCCGAGGTCGGAATTTCATTTCAATTCCATGCCTCGTCCCCTCATTCTCACCGCCCCCTTGTCGGGGGCTGCAAGCGACAGTGGTGCGAAACCAGCCCAGAAATCTGCTTATGACATCGCTGATCAAAAGTCCGCGCACAGAGCGTGTGTTTTACAAACATTTTGTTCCTTTTGACTAGAAAGAAGCTTAATAGATAGTAAATAAAAATATTAAAAGGCCATACGAATCGTTAGAAAATTATAATAGAAATTTTAAAAGCTTAAAAGAACATTTTTAATGTAATAAATTGAATTTTTTTCATTGAACACGTCGAATTTCCAATCACATTAATTTTACGGTCAATCAAGAAATCTTACTTCTTCCGCTAACAGATTTTTATGCGGATCGTATACAATCACATAATAATTATAAACATTTGCTAACGTATATAAAAATAAATTTTATAATTTAATTTAATTCATTTAATCAATTTCATCGATTTAGGAAACATTTTTTGTTTGTTCTTTCTTCTCTCTTTTCTCTTTTCTACTTCATGGTGGAATATAAACCCTGCGATTTTAAATTCCTGGGACGACGCAAAATGTGAGGAAGACAATAGCGAAAAAAGTTTCGCACCTGTCACGACGGCCACTTTTTCGGAAATACTCTTTTTCTTTTTTCCCCCTACTGATATCCCGGCAGAAACATTACCACACTCGAATTTGACGAACAAAAATGTCGAGAATGGACAATGACATTTCCGGGAAGCGTGGGGAAAAAAAGAGGAAGTGAAGCTTGATATTTCGGAGAGCGGTGGGCGATAGAAGAGAAATTGGAAATTTTGTTCGTGGAAAACACGTCGTATCGTATCACTCGTCCACCCATCTGGTGAATTTACATACATACTCGCAAATTTTTTAGCAGCATGTACAAAAGCAGAGATTTGATCGTTTTTTGGCGCATAACACGTTCGTCGCGATTAAATGTCGCGATTCTGAAAGACCGAAATATTTAAATTGCTTTAAATACATGTGCAATAGACGAATCTTTTAAACAATAGTAATCTAGTACTTGCTTTCCCGAGAGTAATTTTTACGAGACAACGGAATAATATACAAGATGAAAATATACTACATTTTCTATTACAGAAAAAACTCTACTCTTTTTACGAAAATGTCAGTTTCTTAAAAGGAAAACATTTTACATATCATTTTACATATATTTTTTACAATTACATTTATTTATTGTAATATTATTCATTTATTTTTCTACAATAATTAAGTAACATTTATTTATATCTAATAAGTACTTTTTGGCTGAAATTCGTCTCTTTATCTCACCAAATAAATACCTTTTTTGAAACGACCACTATCAAACCATTTTTGAAGTGTTGCATCTCAAGAGTGTCAAGTTAAATTTTTAGTTCTTAATATGAAAAAATGGAAGAGTTAAGAATTTTTGAGTGAAGAGAGTCATTTTTGGTTTTTTCTACATTCTCCGATTTTTTTCATACTCAATATTACATTTTATTAAAATATCCTTTGGACATTTGTTAAAACAACATTCGAAGACTATCTTGGAATTTTTTTCAAGTGAAAAAATCTATAACTTTCTCGCAGCAAACATTTTAGTGGTTGGGACTGAAACGGCCCAGTGTGCTAGTTATGTGATTTAAGACCAAACTGCGTGGATTAATATCGTGACACAACATTAATATCGTGTACATGCAAAATTGGCATCGCTGCTAAGAAACGACCTAATTTGTGACATGTGCTCAGAATTAGTGTCATAATATTATGCATAATTGCTCTTCCGTTGCCAGCTGTCCGAGCAACGTCGAAACGGCGGAATGTTTCGACGTTGCTTATAACGTTCATATTCTTAAAAGAGAATTTTTCCTAAAATTAATAATAACGGAGAGAATTTACTCTTAAAATTTATCCTGAAAATCGTGTAATCGTGAAACAACATGGAATTTTAAAGCATTTTATGAGCTTATTGAAATATTACCGTACATTTTACTAGGAAAATGTATATTAAGTATAATTACTAGTAAAATGTGTATGGTCAAATTTCAGAAAACTCTCATAAAATTCTTCGCAATGCCGTGTTATCCCACGATTACGTGATTTTCAGGATAAATTTTAAGAGAAAATTCTTTCCGTGTGTGTTAAAAGAAATGCACGCGTGGATTACGTATTGATCTGCGTTAATAATTCCAACTTTTAAATAATAATAAAATAATATTTTTCATGCAAATACACAGTACGTTAGGGAACTATATATTTCAAAATTGTTGCAGGCAAAAATTAATATCAATATTTCGTTATCCAAAATAACAACATAAATCTAGATATTTTATTATATGCTTTAAAAAACGTAATTTTAAATGTATACATCGCAATGGAAAACGTTGATTTTAAGTTTCTCTCGTTTTAATTTGCATTTAAACTATGAAAGCTACAGAAAAGCTTTTCTACGCATTTAACAAGATAGTACGTCAATATTAATTGTCATTATTTAAAAACAACATATAAAAGTAACACAATTACTTATTTTTTCATTTTTATACGTTTATATGAGATCCCTGTTTCTGCTAGTTTCGTGCTATAACAAAACTTAATGAAAATTATAATAATATTTCGTTGAAATTAATGTAGTGATCTAATGCCCTACTTTGTAAACAACTAGCTTGAGTCATATCAAACAAAACACGCGTAATCATCGTTCCGTTTAATTGTCGCAGTTAATCACGTTCGTCGATATGGAACTGAAGTTATGCCAAGTTCCAAACTTCTGCCGAGTGCGGACCCTTCTCGAGCCCCATTGAAATTTTGCGTCCTTTCAGGAAGACATCGTCCATCTTGTCTTTGAAGTGAATAGAAGGGAACACCCTAGATGTGTTAAATTTTAAGGTTTAACCCTACCATGTATACATACCCAAGAATCTGTATCTATGCATCTTGTGTACATAACCACTTTCTATGTAAATATTTCATGTAACGAGTGAGCCAAAACAAAGCGTCAACTTGTTTTATTAAGAGAAAGATATTAGATATTTAATAATTATGGAAACACTATTATTTTTTTGTAACATGGATGAAGAAATAGCAAATGTAACGATCGCGTTAAACGTGCAAGGCTTCTTATTTTAATTCTTCGTTTCTGTAACGAATAGTTTATCGCACAATGTTTTATTATTTCAGATTATTATTACCAGAAGTTTGAAAGCATTAATTAAAAATGTCTGCTGTATTGAATGAGACGTTAATTTCTTCGTTATTGTAAACATAGATTAAGGTTTGGATAAAGCTACGCATTAGCGCCATTAATTTATAACGAACGTAAAATAGATATAATGAGCGTCTGACCGCCCGGTATAATATCCAGTGTTCCATGTAACATCTCGAATATTGGTAGGTGCAGTCTCTCATACATCACGAGGAGGATTGTGCGCGATATGGAAATTATTCGCGCGAGATTTTCGCCATAAATTACAGGAATTAATTCGATTTAACCTCCACCGCACGTGGCAAGGATGGTTAATGTGTTTCCTCCTCTCTCTCTCTCACTCCGCTTTAAATTACCGAATTTTTCCGTGATACATACTATCACAATATAATAAATAATATATAATTATTGTATATATAGTATTAAATAGTATTAGATAATTTTGTATATATTATAGTCATTGTATGGATAAGTGTTCGATGTATGTACGGAATATAGCATGTATCTATATTCTGTAAATTGTGCTCATACATTTACATATTTAAACGTACGCGTTTTCAATAACATTGATTTTATTGGTTTGAACAACAATAAGTAGGAACCCTTATATTAAATTATACATGTATAATAATTGTTTGTGTAATAATAATTAATGACAAAAATATATACGTTACCTAATAAAATTGTGATACCAAATAGAATTATTAGATGTTTATATTCGTTTGCTTTTGTATATTTGTTACGCGTACAAAATTATTACATGGAAAATTGATCAATTCGCAAGTTAGGAAAATGGTCAACGTAAAAACGCACTCAAGTGTGATTTCGTTAGTCGATCTATGCTTCGAAATAAAGGCGGTCGTATTTGACCTTGTTGAAGAGAGGCTAAAGAAGAAAAGAAAATGTACTCACCGTTCGTAAGAATCCTGGGTCGTGCAGAGCTCGCTCAGCATGCAGTCCAAATCAGTCGCCAGAGAATTAAGCAGCTGAAAGACAAAAACAGAGAAGAGGGTTAGGGTCAGCGGGAGAAGACCAGTTTAACAATAGGTCATCATTCTATCAACTGTTCGGCCGATCAATGATTCTGCTTACATTACGAAGTTAAAACTATTACTATATAAATTCCAATATTTCAACACGAGGAAGTTTCTTCACTGGCGACAATAAGCCTCACTCAATTAGTCCAATATTTCAGTTATTATATCAGTCTTATACTGCTTACTCGACTTTTTATTATTTTCACTCATAAATGTGACTATTTCAAGGAGGTACGATTTAGGTAACCGGTTTCCCAAATCGTACCTTTTGCAAAAGACTTATAACAAATTAATTTGTTATTAGAAAAACGTTAAACATATAATAATACATGCCTGAAACATCATTAGGCCGGCCTAAGACAATGATTTTTAATAATTAATTACTCGTTAACTATTACGAAAATTGCAAAATGGTACAGGACTTTTCCGTTCATCTCGATCCGTTCTACCTTCTCAAAAATTTTGTCGGATATGGAAAGACTCACCCTGTATATTTAAATCACAACAAATAAATAGTGATTTAAATATATATCTTTTATGCCAGTTTGGTCGAATTTGCCTCAAACTACAATTGCCAACGGCTGTTTGCGTACAAATCAGTACTAATTATATCTTTTAATCAAGAAATAAAAGAATTTACGAAAAATAAGATTTAGATAATTCATAGATAATATTATTTTATACATTATATAAATTGTCACCTGTAGCGTGGAGGAAATAATTTAAGAATAATAAAAAAACTATATAAATAGATAAAGTCTGCAGAGTTGAAAGTAATAAAATTAATAAATATCATTTAAAGGGGGATAGGCATTTCATGGCGACGTTTTGCAATGTTTTTTTTATTACAGCTGCAAACGCCACGATCATTAGTGGACCACACCCATTCATCCCGACCCGCGTAAAGTGCGTACTTGCGGTACACAATAATGCGTGTGCGTAATTTAAATGCGTATTTCCCTCCCTTGGAAAGGGGAGTACGGGAACAAACTCGTAGAGTTTATCGCAAAAATATAATTGCACACAATCGTCCCCGATCATATATTTCGATCAACTCTCTCCATCCCCATCTCCTTCTTTCTCATCGTAAGCCGCAATCAGTCAATACGTATCGGTTCCCATGGTGACTATTGTCCCCATGGTGACGTGCCATTCCGTTTAC